ATTTCAGCGTTTCTGATGATTTCTGCTGCTTTCCTTTCCACTTCTAATTCATTCTACAGCTCAATCGTCACTACGGAGCATCTTATATGGCATTTTTATTCCAGGGCTGGCCCTTGAGGTGGTGTGGCGTGTGACGTTCGACTTAGTTTATGGTTGGATATTCAGATATTAGAACTATGTTGTGCAGCGTAAGGTTCATGGTTCTTCACTGTTCATTGCATTTTCGCAGAAGGACTTCTGCCGCGATTCTTACCCACACCAACGCCCTTAAAATTGCTAAAAGATTATTTCATGGCGCTGCCGTCACAGCTTTTTAGCATTCCTTCCTTACCCCTCTTTCCCGTATCGTGAGCTTTGCAGGAGTCTTCACTTAAACCGGAAGACTCCTGTGAATCTTGCGAAACTGACGAGATCCCTGTCACAGCATGCACTTGCAACAACATTTCCTTGATGATTTGTGATAATCTGCCAGTGCGAGTGGCCTTTCCTTTGTTCGAACGAGGCAGTCGGTAGACAACCACTCAGCTGGCGAATCAACAAAGAAGAATCTTGCCGACAAGGTTGTGTTGATCAGTCCATACTGTAACTTCATAAAAAAGGACAGCTGCCGCTATGCAAATCTCTATAAACTTGATAATGAATTTAAAACGAAAGCTGCGCTTTTTGTGGCTTGATGTTGCTAGATGGACGTACTAGTGATCAACTTTTGGGAATAATGGAATACAATACACAGCTGGGCGAAAAATTGCGGCTGTTATAAGAAAACGTGCCGACTTTCTCGTGTTCGCAAAATTTCAAAGCATGAATGGCTTGAATTAGTTTGGTCATCGAGCCAACGGTGCGGCGGAGAAGCCCGACTAACGCTGAATTTTGGACAGCTTTTTCCAACATCACCAAACTTTTTCATTCAACTCGTTAGTAGCCCTTCAATTAGGCTCTGAGAAGTCTAATGGAATCAGATTGAACCGCTAGCAGGCCATAAGGACAATCCATCGTCACGGAAAAAAGGGCCGATTTTGTTCACGAAGAAGTGTTGATCGTTGCGTTGGTAGATGGGTTGGAACCCATTCCTGTAGAGAGACAAAATAAACCAGAGGAGGCTTGCAGTACCACTAATACAGCTTCACATCATCAAACGTCAAGGAACGGCATTACTTTCCACTTACGAACGCTGGGTGAAAAGTTGAAAGCGATTTCGAAATTTCCTAGCCGCCTAAACGGTGAATTTCTCTGTGAGAACAAACGAATTCCTAGAATCGCCGCACCTCAAAGAATATCGTAACTCCTTACATTTCCCTTCCGATCTTATCTTCCCTGGGCCTTAGGAACTTCTGCGTTTGTGGCGATGACCTCCACTTCCATGTTTAATTTACTATTATTTGAACGACTTTTTGAGAAGTTTTTAGCTGTTCTCTTCTTACTCTTATTCAAGCATCGGTTATCTTTCACATTTCCCTTATATGATTCGTGGCAGCCATCTGATGTTGAAAAATCGTCTTCATTCTGTGACGAGTTCAGCTGTGGACAGCTGTTGGAGAAACTGTGAGCCTCGAGGAAATCGTTGAGCTCTGAATCAAGATCTTTTTTAGCCGATTGCAACTTGAGCAGACCATCGTCAGTATTTAGAAACAATTATTTTCTTCTACAATCAAATGGCAGCAACAAAGAAACTTTTGGAGAAGTACACAGAAATTCCTCAACTGTCATTAAACCTGAAGCTGATGAAGCGCTCATGTATGCGGTGGCGGAGCTGGGGAAAGCGAAAGTTTGGTTGTTTGAATCATTGCCGCCAAACTCTTCAGAAACTTTCAACACTGTTGCCACTAACCAGGGAAGGCATTCAACTTCCCATGGAACTTTGAATTGAGACCCAGATATATCGATAGAGCTTCAAACGCTGATTACAAATATGGAAACTAAAACTGCAAAATGAACCTGCCAAGGAAGTTGTGAGCAGTCAAAGTTGGCTAAAGTAAAGCGTTGCGTATGAACCGTGCTCGACCTCAGCTTTCAGAGTTGTAGAGAAGTGCTCTCGTCCTTTACCAAGGCAGTCCTACTTCTCCTCCTGTTGGTGTGCAAATTTTGAGAGCACTACCACTACTCCACGGCGACTTTGAAAGCCCGGAGGCTACGGTTGTACGTAATGCTTTACTTCCAGCCAACTTTGACTGCTCACAACTTCCTTGGCAGGTTCATTTTGCAGTTTTAGTTTCCATATTTGTAATCAGCGTTTGAAGCTCTATCGATATATCTGGGTCTCAATTCAAAGTTCCATGGGAAGTTGAATGCCTTTCCTGGTAAGTGTGCACAGATTTGTAGAGTTTTCTACTTAATCAGACCGCCTGGAGAAATTTCGCGTACTAGTCGAGGTTGGGGTCGAATATTGTTGGAATTAATTTTTTATCACTTGAAGGATGAGCCTTTTCACGGGCTCTGGAAAAGGCAAGAGAGAGTCTCAGAAAGCTACAAAGGGCCAGACAGAGGCCCAAAAAAAAGAAAAAAAGGAAAAAATGACAGTGAGAGATGATATGTAGAATTGCTACCTTGTTTGGTTTTGTTAACTCCATCGGCTTCACGCCATGCAAAGAGTGGCTACGTTTTTCAGGATCTGGTTGCACCTATGAAACGTCAATTGTGAAACTTATTGAAGTCAGTTGATGTACTTTCACGATAAATACCATTGATCAATAGGTTCATTCCGCCCCCAAAAATGAACAAAGTTCTATGTCTAGGCTTGTTGTTAGTGCTTCTTGGCCCTTCTCATTGACAGCTTTCTCATCTTCCTCATCGATCTTCGCACAAACTTGGCCCTCTTGTGGTAACGCCGTCTGTATTGCATCGGTGCTGAGTAACCACCGGCTGAAATAGGAAATTTCAAGAAAGCAATTATTTATATCTATACGAAAATTTACTTACGCGGTTGTGGTGTGGAGCGACTGCATATCCTCCTCCTGCAGGTGGCGAAGGCGGTGCAGGTGGTGCTGGCGGGCTTGGTGGAGGAGGAGCTGGTGGTTGATATCCACCACCACCGCCACCCCCTGTGCCGAGCCTCCTAATGTGGTCAGTGAGCTGGAGAGTGCTGCGAGGAAGTCTTGCGAGTGATTCTGGAGGAGGATGCTGAGAGTGAGCTGGAAGCGATGTGCTGAGTGACTGGTGTGGGGCTTGGGGGCGAGGACAGTGCTGCGTGCTGGTATCCACCGCCGCCGCCGCTCCTTGCTTAACCTCCTGATGCGGTGCGGGGTTACTGGAGCAGTGCTGGGGAGGTGCTGAGTTAGCTGAGGTGGAGCCGAGAGAAGGGCTGGTGAGGCAGAGTGGCCGCGAGAATCCTGAGTGTGCTGGGTTGGAGCTGGAGAGGAGCTGCGTTGGACCCCCCGCCGCCTGTGCCATAACCCTCTGATGGGTTGCGGGGGGGAGCTGGAGAGTCGCTGGCTGGGACTGGAGAGGTCTGGAGGAGGTCTGATGTGGAGCTGAGGAAAGGTCTGGTGAGTGCGGAGTAGCTGAGGATTCGCGCGTGGTCAGGGGTCCCGGCGAACGGAGAACCTGGTGGCGTATCCGCCCCGCCTGTGCTCTCATACCGCCTGATGGTTGCCTGGGAGCGAGAGTGCTGCAGGGGTGCTGGGGATACGCGGAAGAGGAGCTGGGTGGTATCCCCCGCCGCCTGTGCCAAAACCTCCTGATGGGTCGGTGAGCTGAGAAGTCTCGGAGGGAGCGGGAGAGGAGCTGGAGGTGGACTGGAGAGGAGCTGAGTGGAGCTGAGTGGCTGCCGCTGGACTGGAGGAACTGGAGGTGAGCTGGGAAAGTCCGGGACTGATACCTCACTGACGTGTGCTCTCGGCCCGGAGAAACATCTTGGCGGTGGCATCAAACTGCGGGTGCAGTCGGGCTGCAGAGTGATAAATCAGTGTGGCATCACGTACCTCAACAATCTAGTGATTATGATCTTTACGCTTATTAAAAGAGTTCTCATCAGTATCACATTAATAACCACCACCACCCGGCCCCTCCTCCCTCCGCCACCACCGGGCTGGCCGCCGGCCCGCCAACATATCGCCGCGGCCGCCTGCCGCCACCAAGACTGGCAGATTGGCTAGAAATAAAATCTTATTACCATCTAAAGAGTGCTACTTTTCAGGATCTGTTCACTCTATAAAACGTCAATTGTAAACTTTATTGAGTCAAGTGACATCCCTCCATAATAATACCATTGATCAATAGGTTCATTCCGCCCCCAAAAATGAACAAAGTTCTATGTCTAGGCTTGTTGTTAGTGCTTCTTGGCCCTTCTCATTGACAGCTTTCTCATCTTCCTCATCGATCTTCGCACAAACTTGGCCCTCTTGTGGTAACGCCGTCTGTATTGCATCGGTGCTGAGTAACCACCGGCTGAAATAGGAAATTTCAAGAAAGCAATTATTTATATCTATACGAAAATTTACTTACGCGGTTGTGGTGTGGAGCGACTGCATATCCTCCTCCTGCAGGTGGCGAAGGCGGTGCAGGTGGTGCTGGCGGGCTTGGTGGAGGAGGAGCTGGTGGTTGATATCCACCACCACCGCCACCCCCTGTGCCGAGCCTCCTAATGTGGTCAGTGAGCTGGAGAGTGCTGCGAGGAAGTCTTGCGAGTGATTCTGGAGGAGGATGCTGAGAGTGAGCTGGAAGCGATGTGCTGAGTGACTGGTGTGGGGCTTGGGGGCGAGGACAGTGCTGCGTGCTGGTATCCACCGCCGCCGCCGCTCCTTGCTTAACCTCCTGATGCGGTGCGGGGTTACTGGAGCAGTGCTGGGGAGGTGCTGAGTTAGCTGAGGTGGAGCCGAGAGAAGGGCTGGTGAGGCAGAGTGGCCGCGAGAATCCTGAGTGTGCTGGGTTGGAGCTGGAGAGGAGCTGCGTTGGACCCCCCGCCGCCTGTGCCATAACCCTCTGATGGGTTGCGGGGGGGAGCTGGAGAGTCGCTGGCTGGGACTGGAGAGGTCTGGAGGAGGTCTGATGTGGAGCTGAGGAAAGGTCTGGTGAGTGCGGAGTAGCTGAGGATTCGCGCGTGGTCAGGGGTCCCGGCGAACGGAGAACCTGGTGGCGTATCCGCCCCGCCTGTGCTCTCATACCGCCTGATGGTTGCCTGGGAGCGAGAGTGCTGCAGGGGTGCTGGGGATACGCGGAAGAGGAGCTGGGTGGTATCCCCCGCCGCCTGTGCCAAAACCTCCTGATGGGTCGGTGAGCTGAGAAGTCTCGGAGGGAGCGGGAGAGGAGCTGGAGGTGGACTGGAGAGGAGCTGAGTGGAGCTGAGTGGCTGCCGCTGGACTGGAGGAACTGGAGGTGAGCTGGGAAAGTCCGGGACTGATACCTCACTGACGTGTGCTCTCGGCCCGGAGAAACATCTTGGCGGTGGCATCAAACTGCGGGTGCAGTCGGGCTGCAGAGTGATAAATCAGTGTGGCATCACGTACCTCAACAATCTAGTGATTATGATCTTTACGCTTATTAAAAGAGTTCTCATCAGTATCACATTAATAACCAACCCCCACCGCCTCCTCCTCCCTCCGCCACCACCGCTGGCCGCCGCCGCCACTGTCGCCGCCGCCGCCGCCGCCACCAGAGCTGGCATATTGGCTAGAAATAAAACTTATTCACATAAGCCAGGTGAAAAAAGATAATTACCAAAATTATGAAACCAGAATGCCGGGAACTCGAGTTGCGGAGACTTACCAATATGCTGTGGCTAGAAGTGCCACTAGCCAAATACTCCGCATGTTTCGCAGATGTGGAGTGAATACTGCAGCAGTAGCAACTGTTTTATACTCACCCAACTAGAGGTCATTTGCTTAAGAATTTCGATTCTCGAGAACGAACGTCCAGATGTCTAGATAGGTTCATAATACTGTTCGGGTATTACAATTTGCTGGTTGACCTTGGCGCACCTTTTCTTTGTTGACATTCCGCTCTCCGAGACCAGCTCTGGCCGTTCATTTTTCTTTTCATTTTTGGTATTTCAATAGCAAGCAACCCTCAGACTGAATTCCTAATTAGATGCATTCCCGTAACCAGTTGTTATTTGTTATTTGCGCCACACAGCAAACTCGTAGCACCTTCGCTCTGAACCACAAGCGTCAAATGCATACAGCTCGGTGTATGCACTGGCTTTCAAGCCTGCCACTAGACAAGTCGGTGCTGTCATCCTCTTTTACAAAATTAAGCAATATGATATAAATTCGCCGGCTCCGAAGAGGTGGAACGCTTGGTTGGTCTTCCAGCGTTGCAATATGATATTTGAGGCTTGGGGAATCATTTCAAGTCCCTTCAGTTGTCACTGTATCACCTCGCCCAATTTTTCACTACAAGCCCACAATAATGTCAAAAGGCACGTACATTTTGGTTGTCTACGGCTTCATTGCTTCGCCCTTCAACATTTCACTAGATTTCACACTCCATTTCAACTTCAACTTAGAGCCAGCTAATGAATTGCTATTATATTTGAAGCACTCACACCTCCTCAGCTATGCCTTTCACGGTAAGGGGCACACTCCACACTCAGTCTTATCACTCATCGTCTTTTCATCATTTATCAGTGGTTCTTGACTGTTCATGATGGCGACAGGTTGCATCTATCATCATCACAGCTACCCTTCAACCTCAGCACAACGTATCAGTTGATACTCTTTTTCGTAGGGCCAATGTCGCAACAAAACGGCCAGGGCTTCAGGCGCTTACCTGATGCATCCATGCATACTCTTCGTCACGAATATACTGTTGCCTGCGTCCCCTCCGTACCTCATCTCTCTGTTTCCTCTCTTCTGAGCACAGCGTCTTATCTATCGTCCAGGAAGAACAAGAACTTCGGCGTCCAGAAAGAAGGAGTTTTTCGGCACCCCCGGTACTTTGGCGCTTTCTTTTGCTTTATGTGACTGGCATCAAATACCCCTTTCAAATTTATCTTGGACCGCAATAACTAATGTTTCGCATTTATCGCTTCATATTTTGCTGTGCCATGAATGTCTGAAACCTTCTATGAACGAGAAGCATTACTAAGAAAATATGCAGTTATACAAATGCTGTGGAAAATATTAGGCTGGTCCATAAGTCTTGCAACAAATTACATTTAATGCTAAAAATTTTTTGAGAACTCCGAAAATTTCGCAACATGTTTGCTGAAATAACCTTTGCAATTTCAGCCAACCGTCCAGCTCGTTGTCTCGCTACTTGTTATGGATATTACACCGATTTCGCGAAAAAGCTCTTCGTGCCCTTAATTTTACGAGTACTGCTTGGAATGTTCCGCAAGTCATGCTACACCAAGGATTAGCCAGAAGATGGGCGAGGGCACGCTCTCTCAATTCACGGTGCACGGCGCTTCACTCTGCTCAGCGTTGACTTTTTTATTTGAAAATGATCCACACTCCAACCACCCCGTGACTGACAATCACGATGCTCTATCTGACGCTGTTGAAAAGGGATCTGGATAGAGTATCGATCATTTGCTAGAGCGATTCCGATGCGACAAGGAGACAGCACTGTGGCATCTCCAAAGACTTGTGAAGATCCGAAAATATAGAGTTTGGTCCCCACGTGCCTTGAGCCCGATTCAGCTCCAAACACGATCTGACACCGTTATGTTCAAGTCGACTTACTATGGATTCTTCGATTGACCATCCATCACATTTGCCGAAGATGAGAAGAGGGTTCAGTGTGCTAACAAACATCTTTAATACTAAAGAAAAGCAAGACACAGTTTGCTTTTTATGACACCATTGAACCACCTCTTGCTAAGAAAATCCAGGAAAATTTTGGGACTCTCGGACAGAGACTTTGGTATCCACCTTATAGCTCTGACCTCGTGCCAAAGGATGTCCACTCGCTCCCCTCTCCAGACCACCGGCACTATTGCACTATTACAACACCAGTAGGGGTCAAGATGGGTTGAAAAATTATGTTCGCTGAAACTTTTGCTAGCGCCTGAGGCTAAGCTTAGGGGAGGGGGTGAAACTCCGGAGTGGGTAAACCACGCACCGTGTGGCAAAAGTTGGAGTGTGTTAGACCACAGGGGAGTGGCCTACTCACTTTGGAGCCCTCCACTATTCAAAGGCTTAGTCCTGATTGCGATCTAATTAGTGCGAGGGCGCAGACGAGCAGGAAATAGGCGCCGAATAGCGCCAACAACAAAAACGAATGTCATATTCGTAATCAGGACCCCAAATAACCCCTATACAGAAGTTTACAGCGAATTTGGTGGAATCAGTCGTGGCGCCAAATGGCGCCAGCGCCAAAAATGAATATCATATTCGTGATCAGGACCCTCGATAACCCCCATAGCCGAAGTTTCAGCGAAAATTATTTTTTGACCCATCTCACCCCTCCTGGGTTGTAGTAATAGTGCAATAGTGCCAAACCACCTCCTA